GAGATCAGAACTGGAATTTGTAGCTCTTCCTTCCAGCTCCAGCTATTCTTTTTTCTTAATTTGAGCAACTCTCCTTGGGTACAAGAATACATCTGAGAGCATTTAAGCAGACATGTCACCTGCATGCAAAAAACCCCTCACACCACAAATGGCACGAAGCCAACTGCCAGAGCTGGGCATTGGCAGCTGGAGCAGCATAAGAAGCTCCCGAGTGGGCTGGGTGAGCCCTTTGCACCCTCGCCAGGGGCCACCCCGGCCAGCGACCTCACCTGGCAGCACAGCAAGGGCGCAGATGCCTGATCTGCCACCTCTGCACAGGGGATCCAAGTTTCTACTTCAGGTGGCACTGTGTTTTAAAAGGCCTTTCCACACTAGAAATGTCGTGGAGTTAATTTTTTAATTTTTATGAGCAGTAAAAATACAGTGAGAAAAGCTGAGGTAAGGGCGTTTTATGTGGCAGTACAGAACTTGTCTCCCCAACAGCTTGGGAGTACAACTGTTGCAGTTTAATCAACAGTTTTGACTCCAATTTAGGAAGGTATTGGAGCACAGCTTACCCTTAAGTACCTGTGTGAATATCAAAGAAAAAATCAGGTCCTTTGCACTTGTAAATTAAACGGACAGAACAGCAGTCTAAAAGAGCAAGTCTACTGCCACATTGACTGTAAATCACCTGGTAAGACATCAGGAGAACACATGAAAGACAGGGCAGACTCCCAGTGTAAAACAGCACTTTAACACACAAATTATAAAGTCAATGGGTTGCAGACCTTTTCTGTGAATTCCTTGTCTGGTCCTTCCCATTACATGCACCCTCACATTGCCACTCCCAGCTTTAAACTCCAGATTTTGTTCTCTTTAAACAGTTCCCAGGTTGCAATGGGAATTCTTGCTTTCAGCAAACATCTGAATGCCAGAGCACAAGTGTGTTACCATCTCCAGCAAGCTGCACTCACACAGTTATCATCTCTGATCCAAATACATTAGTGTCATTTACCATGGGAGCAAAAAGGCTCCTGGAAGTCAGGTTCCCCACAGGTATGCACACACTGGACCAGACGCTTGGATGCTGGCTCTGGACTGCCCTGATTCCTGGAAAACTGTCTCCTGATGGCAGGGTGGAAGATGACACAGACCTTTGAGTGATCGAGCCAATAGTTCTTACTTTCTTCAACATGAAGTTCACTTCCCTTCTGCACCTCGAAAAGACAAATACAATATAATGATATTCTTATTTTGTAGACTAACACACTTTTGAACACACAGATGACTGGTTTGGCCCCAAATCATGTCACTAGGTAGCAGGGCTGGTAGCCAGGTGCTCTCCACATCCAGGCATCTGTCCTAACCACTGCAGCAGCAGCTTCATCACTGACACAAGCATAATGACAGAGCACAAAACACCCCATGCTTTGAAGCAAATTGTTACACAGATATATTTATTGCATTGCAGTCCCAGCAATTTTAAATATAAACATTTATATTTGGAAAGCAGAATATTGCAAATTCAGTATTATCCAGTATGTTCATAGCAGCATCAGCTTCCTAAGAAACAAAATATTTAGGAAGACAGAGAAGGAATTACAAACGGATTACTCTCTCATTTATCACCATTTGACCAAAATCTGGTATTGCAGCTGTGAAACAGATATTGAAGTCACCAAATCTGACCTTGCAGACATAAGTAATTTCAAGACTGAAGTGCGTCATTGTACCTGATATCTTGTACATTTTTAGTGTGCCAAGACATAAGGCTAACAGTCAAGTGCCTGAAGAGGGCAGATGATCTATGTATCTGCGTTACCTGACATAGTTTTAATAACAATACTTAGCACTTGTATAGCACTCACCACTTCCCCAAATCCTTGTGAGACAGGCAAGGATTGCTCTCAGATGGATCATGGCTGTGGAGCCTAAGGGAGAGGGAGGGAAGCGGCTTGCCAAGGCCATTCAGTGAGCAAGTGGCAGTAGAGGGATCAGAATTTGTCAGCACCTGACTTCCAATCCCATGTCAGTCTGGTAGGTCATGCTGCTCCTCTGTGGTTCATTAAGGAAGTTTTGTAGATGATAATTGGTTAACAAGTCCCAATCCGTGCAACTACAGTGGATGCATGCACCATTTGAAAAGGTCAACACAACTGCTCCCCTCGTCATGCCCATTTTAGTTTTAAAGGAACTGAACACTTCTCTGGTTTTCTCATCTCAGAATGATCTGTCATGCTGAAGATACAATGACACAGCTGCACTTTGCTTTGAAGCAGTGAAAATCAGAAGCAATCGCTATAGGAGCGGGAACAGCTTTCATTTCTTTCCTGAGGGAGAGCACTGATCTTTTGAGAGGAAAAAAGGATGGATATGTTTTTACACAAACTGATCAAACTACTTTTCATTCTAAACGAATACAAGACTGACTGAAAGTCTCAGGTGTACTAATTTTCTTCAGCTAAGTCATCCAAGTGTACACTATGAAGCTAGCAGCTAATAAAATAGTTATCCAGGAACATCAGAAGGCATTTTCCTTCCCTGACAGGCCTTCACTTCTACCAGCTAAGAGCAAGAGCACTTACAGTGACACTCTAAAAGGACTTGTAAACATCACGAGACAAGCCATCTCTGATATTCCTCCACTTCTCCTGCACCCCCAGGAAGCTAACAAGGATAACCAAGCCTCCTACCATCCCTGCCTCAAAAGGGGAAATTTGCTTACTTGTTTTTTCTCCCACTGGGTTTCTTCTGCAAAACTGTAGCAGGGATTAGGGACGGAGTCGCAGAGACTCCTGGGGCACAGCTCACAGCTCACACGCTGTCAAACGCTCACAGCGTAATGGGGGCTGCGCTCGAGGACTGTCCCTGCACACCCCCCTTCACCTAGAGAGCACAACTGCCCAGTGCTGGCCAAGGTGTGCAGAGCGCTCAGGCTAGAAAGCAACCTCCCATTTCAGGAAGCTAACAAGTAATTCCTCTCTCCACCTTTTTTTTTTTTTTTTTTTCTCCTGCTTTCACACTTTCAGCATGCCATGAAAGCCTGTAGTTGGGAAAATGTACAGAGGGGTACATGTTATACTTACAGTAGCTTACACACTTCTTTTTTCCATCAAGAAAAGTCTTCACCAAGTGCACTGATCCTGCAGTGCCCACCTGGAGGACGATGGTCAGATTGCCTTACCTATCTCCTCCCAAGTGGCCTCATTTTTTTTTCTGTCCAGGCTGCTAATGGGTAAAAAAAGATGGCAGCAAAGGATGCTCTTAAATAGTAAGGTTTTTCTCCACAACAATTCTTCCACGTAAGAACCGATGCTTTTTCCTACTGATACACTGTCAACATCTGACACAAAAAGCTGTGATTTTTAAAAAATTGTTTTTCATTTCAAGCAAATTTTAACTGCTTTACTTACATCCAGCTGTTCCCAGTCATTTTAGATTAAGTCAGAACAGAAGTCATAGGACCTCCTGAAAATCAATGTTTCCTTCTCATGACAGTGGCTCTTAACAGCACCTTTTAGATATGAAAAGAATACTACTGGCTACATCAACTACACAGTACTTTTTTTTTAAAGTTGTAATGATGTTTATCTGGAGGCGAGGCACTGCTAGAAAAAAGACTGACCAAGCTGAAGTTTCTAAATGAAAACCCTACCAGGGTACCAGGGTATTAATATTTCTTGTAAACCAAAAAAATGAAGCTCAGCTTAGACTCCATCCTCCTTTGCCAGACTTTTAGCTTGTTATCTAGAAGGATATTACTAAGATTTTACGTCTCCCCCCTTGAGTTCCTACTGCCACTGGCTGCCCCTGTCTTCCTCTGTTCACCTACTCAGATCTCACCACTATGTACACTGCAGGGTTTTGAAAAAGGTAATACGGGACAGCACATCATGAATCCTTGTATTTGTCATCTTCTTACGGGCAAGGATAATAATGCCAAGAAAACTTGAAAACTTTGCATGGAGCTAACTCTGTAGATGTTAGGACGGTAAATTGGAGTTGCTTCTTTAGAAACTCTCATTGTACAGTTAGACTCTTAATACTTGTCTGCAAACTAAGCCACCCCTCTTTTAGCTGTTTTTTACAGGTGCTTAATTCACTTTAAATTTTGGCATGTTTAGGCCCACCTACCACCAAGCCTGCAAACTGGGAGAATTAGCTTTGAAATTACTATTTCACTCTAGGAAGATCATCTCTTCCTTCACTAGAAGGGAAGTATTTCTTTATCATCTCTTCTCCCAGTTGTGGCTTCATACATTTCCATTTTTTCATCTTGATAATATCCTTAGGAATAGGTATTTTTGGTTTACAATACCTTAATTACAATAAGAATTCCACTAATTCTGTAATACCTTAGTTTTTCAACATAATTTCTAGTAAGTATTAGCCTTTCATAACATTATAGCAAAGACTGCCTTAGGATTGCTATAGTACAAACTTTGAATTTTTAAGCCAATATCAAGAAGAAAAAGCATGAACTGAAATATTTCTGGGCTACAGAAGATGCATGTTTTAGCATTTATATTTTACAATTTGCAATGCAGGCAGGAGAGAAAACATCCTCATACTGATTCACAGTATTTTGCAGTTATGCTTTGAGGCAGACACTAACAAATAACTCAACAGCTTCTCAGAGTTTGCCTGGCTGAAGGAACCACTGCATCACGGCTACTGTGGCTGCATTGCTTCCGAACGGGTGTGGTGCTGTGCCTTCCAATTTTACTCAGTTGCAGAGCTTGCAGTTTAAGATGGTGGTTATAATTCTAATCTGTTTAATCAAAGACAGAAAGTTTACCACATCCTCAGAAACTCAGTGTTTTCACAGTTTGCTGTCCCTGCCACCTTTCAATTTTCCTTCAAGATTCTGGATGAAATAATTGTTTCCACCAGTCTCATTTAGTTCAGTGCCAGTAAGCCATAGAAAGGGTACGTGTGGGCAGCATGTTGGACAGAATGTCAAATTCAACAAAAATGAGACATTTCTTCTCTGCTGTTTTTTTTCTGGACACTTTCACCCATGGTGATTCACAGATGCAAGTGGGTGACTGCAACAGCAAACCAGGAAAACCTAGCACGGTAGGAAGGAAAATAAGAAAAAAAAAGTTAAAAAATCGGTTTACTCCAATCGATCCAAGATGAGTAATTCTTCTGACCAAATAATTCCAAAAGTCTGGAGAGAATATTGTGAAAACCAATAGCCAAAGGCTATCTGGATGCAAAACTAGATGAGGTAACATTCCTTAGGGAGGGGTGAAAAAAAAAAACAGTAGGCAGTCAAGCCTACTCCTGCTGAGAGACCTTGTCCTGCTTCCAAATGATACAGAACCGAAAGCTGCATCAGAAACAACAAATCCAGAAACTGAAGAACAAGACTACTTCAGTAACCACCTGGTGAGGACATGCTAAATACCTGTCTCCAGATCAGAAAAAACCCTTCTACCAATTAACAAGCTGGACAAGCCAGTTGAGAGAAGGAACTAAATCCACACTTTTTACAAGCTCTTTTTTCCCCTTTGACCTTATCTATTCTACTACTACAGTCCTGTTTAAGAATTGTTTGATAAAAATGAAGCAGCTGTGCAAAAGTTTCCCAATAAATAATCCCAGCCATGATATCCATAACTTCAGGGTAACACTGCAGCTCTCAGCGTGATCCTCCCTACCAGTTTCCCTCACCCTGGCAGCATAGCAGTTTTATGCTGTGGCTCCATGAAAACCCCATCCAGACTACCTGCAAAGCTCCCTAGAACTGTATCACTGTACAAATAAAATCACCACTCTTAAAGTAACCATGAGACTTGGCTCCCTACTGAACTGTGAGGGCAATGAAAAATATATGATGACACTGTGAGATACATCTAACATCACATCCCAAGACTACTTACTGCACTACACTGTTTCTGCACCGGGCATCGTGGCATTACAAAATTTCATATTCGTCTGCTATTTCAGAAATTATTGTAAAAAATTCTCAAATTATCACACCACTTCTTCAAAGGTAGTTCAGAAAACTGCTTCTTGCAGTAATTTGGTACCTCACCACAAACACACTTTAGGAATCACTACTGAGCACCGGGCTGTACAATGTCCTAGAAATACTGGACAGGTTGCAATCAGTATGTGGATCCTTTCCAGAGAGTTCTTTATATTTGGGCCAGAGCTTTTTCACTCTCTCACAGCTCTCTGTTTCTTAAGACTGCCTCCTGCTTCTACTCTTCATTCTTTAGCATAATGACTTTGGGTGTTTGCTCACACCACCTTTGTGACACTGCAGCAATAGAGGAACAGCTAGAGGCAGACAGCTTTTCCAACAAAGAACCTGGATTTCATTCTGAGTTTGGAAAAAGAAAAACATGGAAAGAAATAACCAGAAACAATGAACCAATAATAATTTTAAAAGCTCATTGGTTTCCAAGGGTTGTTTTCCTTTTTTTTTTTTTTTTTTTTAAAAAAGATTTACATGAATACTTAAGTGAGGTAGAAGACTCCATTTCTGAACATCACATTCCATTTTATTATAGAGCAACTTTTTCTGAAGTATTAAACATGCAAGTGACAACACACATAGGATCACTTGCTTAATCACAATCATGACGCTTGAAAGAGACAAAAAAAAAATCACAAATGCTACGCTTGAAAGAGACAAAATTAATAAAATAGCATTTTGATAATGGGCTTTAAAAAGATACAATGTCAGAAAAAGTAGGGAAAAGGAAGACATTCTGGAAGATCTGAAGTTGTAGAAGAGGCTGTATTTAGGAAGCAGCTTGGAAATAACTGGAGAGGTACACAGGGAAGTAGGAAACAAAACCACCAAATAAGCCATTAAATCGAAACTGAAAAAGAGAATTTTACCCAACTCCACAGATGAGACAACAATGAGAACAGAGAAGGAACAGTTTAATAATGAGGTAGAGCAAAAAAAGTAGACAAACTGCAGAGTTCTTAACAGGTTTGTTGACTGAGGTGATGATTTTGGAAGAATAGGTCTGTGATGATATAAAAATCAAGGCACAAACACAAGTCTAAGCACCAGCATTTTTCATAAAATGTATAAAAAGGAACTTGTAGATGTGAAGCAACAAACACCTGAAAGGTTTCAGAGAAGAACTTCTGATGAAACACTGAGACTTCTAGTAGCAACTGAGAACTTGGTGAAATGTCAACTGCCAAGAGGGGAGTACAGCCACAAGAACATTCATGGTAGCTGTACCTTATCTAATGCAGCAGGCAGTATAAACTAGGTAGACAAAGAGAATTAAGAATATGAGGTAAAGAAAAGCAAGAATTCAATTAGATGTCATAGTACACATGCCTGACACCCTTTGGTCAAGTATCAAGGGAAGAGAAGAGGTCAAAACCAGTAGCCTTTGGCATGAGTGGGAAAGGCAGAGACAAGTCATCCCAAGCAATTGAAATAAAAACAAAACAGTCAGAAGAAGGAGGGGGGAAATCAACCCACAATCAAAAACATAATGAAGAAAAATACTTGCAATAAAAGCTGCAGAGAAGTCAGGAGCAGAAACAAGCCCCTTGTTTCTAGCTTCATATGTTTCTATAGTTTGTGAGGGTTCTGGATAGTTGGCAACCACATAGAAAACCAGCCAGGAAAGGTTCTGAAAGCCAGGACAACTAGGGGTGAATACAAAAAAAAATCTTCCTAAACTAGTTTAGAACATCCTGAGAAGACAATGTACTGACAGGAGAAGGGGAAAAATAAAAGTTAAAAAAAATGGGAAGAACTGCAGACCACATGAATACAAACAAGAACAGGACAAAAGGTGAGGAAACAAGAACCTCCAAGAGAAGAATCTTTTCAGTGCCTAGTCTTGGTTCATAGTAGGAAGGGATTACAGCAATAAAGCTATGTATAATGAGAAACTGTAGATTTTCTTTCCCTTTCCCCCCCCGCCCCCCACTCTTGATGAAACTGTTTTGCCTCAACAGTACTTTTTATTCTGAGGCAGTTCTGTCCCAGGCTGAACTTGGGTTTGCGGCTCAGTGGCTGAGCTGATCAGCCATCCAAGCCCCATGTCATCTGAAATGCTGACATAAAAGTTTCAGGGTCCCCCAGAGGCATACAGCTGCTTTGTGTGTCCTGCTAAACGATTTCTGTATTTCACGCAAACACCAGACATCCCCCTACCAACAAGCAAGTGGTATGCTGCACAGAGTACAGTCACTCAGTCTAAGGATTTACAACCTCTATATGCAATACAAGACCTGCAATAAAGCAATTTCTCAGCTTTATCTTAAACACACATGGAGCTGCTGCAAAGCTTAAGGTAGTTAAGATAAATACAGTAATAGCAGTGGGAAATCTAGTGTCCTTTGCCAACTAAAGGGAACAGACTAGAGAATATTACAGCTTTATTTACCCTCAAACTTCTGCACGTAGCTCTCTTGGAAAGCAGTTTATACCTGCAGAAGTCTGGCCTGGTAGCTTAACAACCTTGCTAAAAATAAAACCACTGATAAGTTGAGTTTGACTTTTATACTTCAAAACATTTTTAGGTACACCTCCAAGGTTCAGTTCAACTGGAATCAGATGACACATCATCCATACGGATACGAAAGACCCATGAAGGTTTCTGCTCCATGAGAACTGCTGGAGACACAGCACCTCTAGTTTCAAGAGAGGGAACTTGAAGGCGCTTAGATACAGTACAGTTGTGCTCAGCACAGACACTTAAATCTGAGAAGAAAAACTACATCTTTGCAAACTTCACTGTTACACTAAACAGCAACTGGATTAGATATAAAAGTACAATTTTCCATCTGCACCCACGACATTCACAGATAAACTCCAAATATGGAGGTCCCTGGATCAGCTACATTAGCTGCTTGCTGGTGACACAGGGCTAAAGCATAGCATTATAAATAGAAGCCTAAGCTCTGATACTGAAAACAAATTAAAGTCCTGCCATCATTCACAGAAAAAGAGCAGTTTTCAATTAAGATTTCTCTTACTGAAATTGAATTGAAATGAAAATTCAATTCAATTTTCTATCACACAGGGCATTTCAGAGCTAACTATGAAGAGGCTAATAGCCATCAGTAGTATGTCACGCCACCCTTTTATAGACTATTTCAAATGACTGTCAGAATTATGTCTGAAAAAGAAGACATCCATGTAACAAACGCATATAAACCATTGGTTTCATTAGCAATCTTGAGATTACTCAGCATTTGTGATTCATTTTAGGTGGAGATCTAATCTTAAACTCCTTACATGCCTGCCACAATTAGCTCCTATGATTGAGTACACCAAAATTGTCTTCCAACCCTCTCCATTTAGCTTTGTAAGCAGTGGGATCTGTGCTTGCTTCCCTCACCTCACAGAAACAAATGCATTGCTGATCTTGTCCTGAGACCCCCAACAGAGATCTAAGTAGGCTGCTCTGGCATCAAGCTCAGGATGCTCTGGTTTGAATTATTTCTCCTACCTTGTTATGGTAATGGAAAACCAGTCACAGTACCATCATACTTCATGAGAATGCTAAATAGCAATGAGAGCTGCAGCAGCAATTCATGCTATCACATAAATACACTTTGTCTCAGTCAAGTCAATGTGCTAAATGGACAAGCAAGACATTCTCTCCTCGAATAAAAATCTGGTTTATGTGACGTGTGAACACTTGCTGATAATCCACTTTGGGCCGCCTTTTTCTCCGTGACTGGCTTCTTGCACGGGTACCACCAGCACTGGCACCCTCTGTGTGGGCAGTCCCGCTACCCACATCACCTTCACCTCTGGCAGACGGATGCAAACTGTCACCTGGCATCTTCTTTTCTCCAGCTCTGCCCAAGCGTTTCTGCCTCCCACGCTCATCTTCTGCTTTCCCTCGTCCTGACCCAACTTTCAATCCCAACGTCTGAGTGTCATTTGTCAGGGCTAGTTCCTCCGAGACAGTCTTTGAGTCGGCTCCCTTCTTTACTGAGGACTCCTGCAGCTTGAGTCTGTCAAACAGCTGTAAAAGAGTATTTGTGTATATGACCATATTCATAAAACAAGAGAGACTGCTTGTTCAGCATTTCTACCTGGTTATCTGCACATACAATCCCACATCAGAGCTTACAATACACAATTAGTGAAGAATCTCTACCAGCATTAAAGACTGTGTTTTCCTGCCAAAGTCAAACAGTGACATCAGGTGAATGGCTCTCTTGCATGTGCATGAGTCTTTATGAGAGCACCAAGGAATGTAATTTGGGGAACAATACTGATGTGCAGTAGTTGGTCAGAAACAACAGAAAGTTACAAGTTCCTCCATTAGCTCACTTTCCCCAACACTCTTGTAATGTTGTCAGATAGTATTAGAGATTTCCATTCTTGTGTCCTCAGGCCAGACGTGAATCCCCAAGATAAGGGGCCTCAATCAGCAGAGTGTATACTGAAAAAATGATGGACCTTCTGTGTTCCCCAAAACAAACTAAAAGATGCCGTGGGGGTATTCTGGGAGGTGAGCAGACCACAAACAATAGAAAAATAGTAAGAGCTACAGCAGCAGATCCAAAGCACTGTATGAACTCATTAATCTAAGAATACATGGTGCTGAAACTGGAAAAGGAACTTCTTTTACTCTAGCAGCAGGCAAACTTTTATGAAATACTGACAAATGAAAAGGATTCTTGGTTAGTCTGGCTCTTCCCAGCAATAGGATGGAAAGCCAACTCCTGTGAGAGTGGCCTAAAGGAACAATTGATTATATTTAACTAGTCTTTTAAAAAGGAAGGGTGGGATCTATCAGAAAACAGATTTAAATGGCAGGAATTTGAAAGCAAATTCCTCACAATGGAACTGTTTAAAAGTTTTTGTGATGCTTCTCTGGTGTTCACAAGGCCCAGAGCTATGCCATTCAACAGGCATAGCCCTGTCACATTTATTTTCCCTTCATTGTTCAGAAGTTCATCTATCATCTCTTCAACTTTTTTTTGCAGCTGGATCCTAGAGAGTGTCTTGCTTTGGAGCAACATGCAGAATCTTGGGCATCACAGTACCTAGACTAGAAGTTTCAAGTCACCAAACATACTGTTTCATTGCCTGGAGACAAAGACTGTCACTCCATGAACACTACTACCAGAGTTATGCACTGCCAAATCACCTGGCGGGACAAATGTGGACCAGATCAGACACAGGTGCAAAAAATGCATAGAACAAATATATGAAAAACCACAGAGTGAGCTTACAGAAGGTCATCATATTGCACAAAGAAGTGGCAGCAACTGTGATCTGATATTAGCAGCTCTAAAGCAGAACTTCTGTAACTATGGCCAAAGTACTTCCAAAAAGGTGAGAAAACTCTTTTTTTCCCCCTAGATCAAGTCATTTTATATTAATCTGTAATAAAAAATATTTCAAATATAAACATAGTTTTCCAATTAATGCTCCTCTTTTACCACTTTGAAAAAGGAGATACTAAAAAAATATGAAAACTGGAAATGGATACCTACCCGGGTTAGCGTGAGCTGAGGTTCTGCATAGAAAGCTTTGCCCATTACTGGTTTCCTGTATGTCTCATCCACGTCTGTCAGGGCCTAGAAGATAAAAAAAATGGAAAGGTCAAAATTAAAAGAAAACATGGAGGAGCTTTGGACCAGCTTTGTGTCACACCATTATGAAATTGTGTTCTATCTGAGAGAAAATCCATCCTAGGAACAAGCTGTTCTTTGGAGCCAGTTTCTCTATCATCTAAGTCGTACTGAGGTATAAAAGCAATAGCAAAGCCTTGCATCTATTCTGCATTACTTGCAAAATCTTTGTGAGGCTTGCCTGCAAAATCCTTCCCCCCTGCTCCCCATTTGCAAACTTGTCAAAGCTCTAGGCTCACAAATACTTAATAGCAGCTTTTTCATCCACTGTCTTTAAGATTTTCATGAAGTAGAACACAGGGAAAAGCTTTTGTCACTGACATCCCAGTAATGTGTTAGTGAAAAAAAAAAACAGAGAAGTGGCTACCACTCTAAGTAGATCGGGTTTTGCAGAGAAAGCTTTCGAAGCTTCTGATACTCCTCATATTCCACCCTCCTGGGTTCTTATACAAAACCTTTGAAGATGCTGGGAAATCTTCAAAGCTTCTCTCTCACCTAAAACTTCTCTAAGAGGGCTAGGCATCTCTCCAACATACCAATCCAACACCAAGCACCACTTAACGCCTGAAACCCAGCACTAGTGGCAAGGCAAATTATCTTTATGAACCACAATACCACATCAATCTTCTCAAAACACAGTTTGCTTAAATCTGTTGCAAATTTCAAGTTTTCAATATAGCAGTTATAAATCAAGGCCTAGAACAATAATTACCATATTCCAGAACTTGTCAAATGCAACCAAAAACCCTGTGCAGACTCCACGAAGCCCTTTGAAAGTGCGGATATGGACATTGATTTTTACACCATCTCGGACACAGCGATGAAGTTCCCCCAGTGGGCTGCCTTCATGGACTAAAACAGAAAGAGAACATCACCAGTCTTCAACAAAATACATATATATAAAATATGTAAAAATCTACTCTATGTGGAAGTACAACACTTGTCTTCCCAGCAAAATAAATGAGAAGCCCCAGAGCACTGTAACATGCTGTGGTTGTAATTACTAGACCACCAAAACTCTTCCTACAGTGGGAACAGCAGAGACTTTAGAAAACATGAAAGTTTTGCTTTACACAACCCACAGCCAAATCAGCCTTGGCAGAAAGGTCTTTTGCTACATTTCAAAAATATACTAAGTAATGCTAATCTTAAATAACAATGGTTCAGAGGGAACAGAAAGCCCACGGAGGCACAGAGAATTTCTCGGAAAAGGCAATGCCTAGCTAAGGCTAGTTACAATCTGTTAGTAAAGTATTGTATCAGATCCTTTTTCTTCACAAGGAGATTTCTGAAACAATGAATGACTCAAAAGTTCTTCATCTAACTAAACTGGATCAGTTTAAATTGATGCAAATGTATTGTTTCAGCTAAAATTTCAGCAGCCAGCTGAACATCCTTCAAAGATGTACAAGTCTTTGGCAAAGAAATAAAGTGACTATAAGCAGCAGTGGCCAATGAAACCACGCTAAACCACAGAAAAATAGTGCTTTTAGTCAGGGCAAAACCAACGGAATTCAGTAAAACATACAGCTTACTTGGTACACATAAGCCTTATCTGCACACTAGAAATCTTTGCAAGTGTGAATTTTCTAGAGCAGTAGATATTATTTACTTCACAACCTCCATCCATGCCATGGTGAAGCGATTCATTCCAGTGTTAAATTACAGCTAATGCTGTACAATTCCTACTGAGAGTCAGGGGAAAGTATTGGTCTAAATTCTCACACAGTTATTCATATTAATAAAATATCTGAGTCAGAGATGTTCTCTCACCTTGTGCTTTAGGGACTATATATTTAAGGTTTGATTTGAACACTAAAAAATGCATCCCGTGAGTGCAAAAATGTTACCCTGTGACAGCTGATCTGCAGTATTTGGCTGCATAGTAATTCTTAGCCACAGCAGGGAAATCTAAAGCAGTTTCCTCTGAATTAACCTGATCACATTTATTTTCTGAGATCCACTGCCTTCTTGCCAGCTGAAAATTGCTTTCACACAGAGCATAAGCTGTCTCAGTACCTCCCAGCTCTGTTTATGGGGGTCTTTTCATGAGTCTCTGTGCTTCTTTCAGCTGAACTGATGACAAATTATGTTCTGAATTTACAAGTCCATCATGGCAACTACAGATGACACCACCGCTACATCAGATTGATGCTTTTAATTAGGTAATAGTATTTTTTCTAACCAACCCTGAGAATTTACAGGACCATTTTAGATTTAGATTTTTTTTTAGATTTTAGATTCCAACATTCCCTTCACATAGGAACTTTATCTACAACTTCTTACAAAAATCCAAGTACAATCTTTATTTCCAACTATGCCTGTGCTTGTCAGCATGCCATGAGGCCTGGCGGGAAACACTACAGCTCTACCAAATCCAGACAATACATGCTCTTGCCCATTTTCCTTGCTGCGTAAGATTCTGACTTCAGGACAAACCTCCAACTTCACCTGTTCAAAAGGGGAGAAGGAGAACACATCATCCTAAAACCTTTCAATAATCAGTTTTGGTGTCTAAGCAAGAAAAAAGTTCTGCTTTGGGCATGCAGAATTGAACATTCTAGGCTTTGCCTTTTTATAAAAAGAATATTAAGAGGAAGCTGGTGATTAGAAGAGATACTTTGATTTCAAACACCACTCAGATTTTTAATTAAGTCGACTAAAGTTACATCTCGTTTGATAGCAATGCCATTTGATGCTTGGTGTAGGTGCACAAGTTGCACCCCTTCATGTTTAGGGGCTACTACCATGACTACACTCTTAAGTTTATACAAGAAACTTTTATCATCATCACAACTGATGAACTTAGCAACATCACAGCTGCGCTCACCTCCATCCACTGTTCTACCATCATATTACTAGAAACGCTAGTGCTGTATTTATGCCTGCAGGATGCACAGTTAGTAACCAAGATAGAGCAGCATTAGACTCCTGCTGTGGTTGATTTAACTTTTAGCTGCATGAACACAAGTCTGATTCCTGGTTAAATAGTACTTTTGAAATCACAGCAGTTTCTCATCCTTTTTTCCTTAAAATCAAGAGGATGAACGTAATTAAACAAATAACATCACCGTAACAACATCAGCATCATCTCCGAGTAAGCAGTTCTGTGAAATGCACCGTTCCTCATTTCTGCACACAACCTTCCCGGCCTTTTACCTAGCACGCAAGTACCATTTTCCACTCAAACTCCATCATTTCCCACCTCCGACCCACCCCGACCACTTCCTTCGGCCGCCGCCCTCTTCAAACCTCCAAACTTCCCCAGACTCCGTCCCGAATCCACGCTGCCGGGAACAGCCGGGCCCAGCCCGCAAGCCTCGACCCCACCTCAAGAGCCCCCACGGCCCGCACTCCGCTCCACCCCGCGCCCAGCGCAGGCCCGCTCCACGCCCTCACACCTTCCGCCGCCCTCCCGCCCCAGGCTGCTCCT